GGGGTCTTCCTGTCTTTCTTGCAAATGCAGGCCCCGAAGGAAGGGACGGCGGACAAACTCTCGTAGACGGTTTGAATTCTCAGCCCCAGCTCCACGGGCAGGGGGGCAGGTGCCACCGATGCAGCCACTGTATAGTCCTGCCAGGACGGAGCACGATGGCACCTGGCCCGCGCATCCAGCAGGCACAGGAGGAAGCCGCCTTTACTGAGCCTCTGGGAGTGATGGCGGTGGCTGGCTCCTGACCCCTTTCTTCCCTGTCTTGCTTGGCCTTGGAGATGTTCCCTCTTTGTGTAGCACCGTCTCATCCTGTGCCAAGCCGGTGGGGGTTGGCGGGCGGGCGGCGGCTCCCAGCAGGACACCGACAGGGCTGCTCCAGCCGCAGCTTTGGCCCTTTTCTCTGACGGGATCTGCCCCATGGGTGGTAGGCTTCTGCTCCCAGGCAGGAAAAAGGAAAAAGGGGTCCGAACTTCCCTGCCCAATTAAAGAAATCCTGCAACCTGCTCCCAGGCTTGGCCGGGGCCCTCTCGGACGCAGGCCTGGAGAATGTTTCCCGCTTGAGGGCCTAAAGGAAGGGTTTTCTAAGTCCCTCCATCAGAAGCCCAGATGAGAAATAGGAGAGCAACGTCTCCGAGCCCCTCCCCACACTGGCCTGCGATCCACAGCCCCTTGTGATGGGGCGGGCAGTGCAGCTCCGGGGGAGGTGACCGAACCCGCCCCTGACCCGCCCACTCACCCCACCATAAGGACGGATTCCTGCCTTGTTTCCCCGGCCTTTTCTTGTCTCCATCCTCACTCCAGCTTTCCTCTCTTCCTGGGCTTCCCCAGGCTTTTCACTTCAGCTTTGTGGCTGCTCCCTTCCTGCCTTCTCTTTCCCTTCCCTTCTCTTACGCATTCAGCCCTGAGCCCTCTCTGCACGTACCCCTCCACCCCCCACACCCCGTCACTCCCATTTTGAATGGTGGCACCCCCTTTGTCGCTCAGTCCCCTGCGACGGCAAACATTGCGGGAACGTGCACTGTGCGCTGAGCAGTGCGCAGAGGCTGTTTCATTCACATTTCCGCGTGGAAGCAGCTGTCGTGGTTGCTTAACTGCCCGCCTGCTCTGGCATTGCCCAGAGACAGGTTTCCCAAAGGGTTTTCCTTGGAACACCAGGCTGCCGGATGCGCCTGCCCGGGTGGAAGTTCCCCAGATGCACAGAGCTAGGTAGTCAGGCGAGTCTGCGCGCTATTTCCCGCTGCTACGTCTCAGACACATGACCTCATGGAAGGCTCTGGAAAGTTCCACACTGAAGAAGCCTGTTTACTTTGACTAGGACGGACTGCCTGTAACGGAGCCTGTCCCTGCGGCCTGTTTGTAAGAGCTCTTCTTTCTCAGGTCTCCTTCTCGTCGCCTGTTTTTGCCAGAAAGCTCTTCCTCGTGTTGGCTAACGCTGTCCGTGTCCTGTCCACGCCCAGGCCTGTGCTGGCCGTCCTCTGGGAAGGTCCTGGGAAGGTTTTCCTCCTGTAAAAGTGCAACTCTGTTGACAATAACAGTGAAATAATCACACCCCTCTCCCCTCTCCCCACCGCCATTCTACCCTCTGTCTCAGTGAATTTGACTCCTCTGGGCACCTCACGTATCTGCCCACGGTGCAGCATGTGCCAGAATTTCCTTCCTCCTTAAAGCCGAGTAACGTTCCACTGGAAGTGCACATCACGTTTGGTTTACCCGGTCACCCATCGACGGGCGCTGGGTTGTGTTCACATCGCACAGTGGTGAATAATGGCGCTATGACATGTTCAAGGCCCTGCTTCCAATACTTTGGGGATTATACCCAGAAGTGGAATTGCTTCACAGAATGGTGACTCTGTGTTTAGGACCTTGCGGTCTTCCTTGTTCTGTTTTATTCCTGGACATCACCAGCTTGCTGAGATCTTTTGGGCCTGGCTTCTGCCCCAGCTCTGTGTCACCAGCGAAGCTGATAGCTGGCACGGGTTGCCAACTACAACTAACAGCCAACCCACCTAACTGGACAGGCATCCGCACCTGTTTCTCTTTCCCACAGAAGCCTGACAGAGTGGCCTCACTCCCCCTGGCAGGGACAGCAGGTCACCATGGCTTTCTGTTGGACCAGCTTGACGGTCTTGCTTCAAAAGCAAATGAGCACATGACCAGCAGTCCCACTCTTGGATATGTACCCAAGGGAATGAAAACGTGTGCTACACAAAAACTTGTACAAGAGAGTTAGAGCGGCATTATTCATAGCAACCAAAAGTGGAAACAGCTCAAATGTCCACCAACTGATGAATGGACAAATAAAATATAGTGTATTTATACAACAGGGCATGATTTGGCAATAAATAAAAAGGAACAAAGCACCGATTGATACATGCTACTACAGGGGGGAGCCTTGAAAACATTGTGCGAAGTGAAAGAAGCCAGGCACAAAAGATCACATGTGGTGCGATTCCGTTTATATGAAATGTCCAGAATAGGCAAATACATAGACGCAGAAAACAAACTAGGAGGTGCTAGAAGGTGGGATGGAGGAGGGGAGAATGGGGAATAACCGCACAGATTTCTTTTCAGGGTGACGAAAATGTTCTGGAATTAAGTAGTGATGAAGGCTGCGCCACCCTGTGAATATGCTAAAAACCACTGATGGCGCAAATGAAAAGAATGAATTTTGTGATATGTATGTTATATTTCGATAAAGCTGTTATTTTAAAAAGAAGTAACAGCCTAGTCAATAAGGCCCATCCCCGAATTATTTGCAGTGAGCTCGTGGCATCCTTGCTTCCTTCCTTAAGTGCTCACAAGCCGGCCCTCGGTACCACTAGATCCTGGGTCTGTCCATCCTCGGCTCATGGTCTCTGCCCACTTCCTGGAAACCCAGAAGCACCTTGCGTGTTTCCGTTCCTGGAACACCTGCCTCACCAGCAGACCCAGGGGTCTCGTCTGCCTCCCTGAGCGCTTTGCGCGGCGCTCCTTCCAGGCCAGGAGGCGGTGCTTAGGGCGGGCGCACAGCTGCTGGGCTTAGACAATGCCCTGCAGCGGAGGCGCCAGTCAGCTGAGGGCCAGCGGAGGACCGACCAAGTGGGGTGTGCTCTTGGAGTTCGGGGAGGCAGGGGGCGGCTTCCCCGAGCTCCGGCGCGTAGAAAGGCCTCCATGGGGAGCCAGCGGTGCGCGGGCGGTGTGTTCTGGGTGGGGGCGAGGCGTGAGCCGGCTGCGCCACTGGAACAGAGCGCATTGGGGAGCATGGGCCGCCTCCAGCCGGACCTCGTGAGCCTCACAATGCCGCCCGCCCGCAGAGGCGGCTTCTCGTGCCTACAGGCTCTGTTTCACGGAGGGCGGTGGTGAGGTCCCCAGCAATGGTGGGCTTTTGTTGTTAGGCCGGGGGAAGGGCGAGACGGGGAAGGAACTGGATCTGTTTGTGTATTTAAAAGTGGTAAAACACACATGAAGTGTACGTACCCTCTTAATTTTGAAGTGTATATTCATATTCTTGTGTAACCATCACCACCATCCGTCTCCAGAACCATTTTCTCATCCCAGATGGAAACTCTAGCTCATCCAACAGTAACTGCCTGTTCCCCATCCCTCCACTCCCTGGGAACCGCTCCTCTGCGTTCTGTCTCTGCGAACTCTAGGTACCCCGGGAACTGGAGTGGGGCAGTGTCTTGTCTTTTGGGTCTGGCTTATTTTAACCTTAGCATAATGTTGTCAAGGTTCATCAGTGCCATAGCATGTATCAGAATTTTATTCCTTTTTATTGCAAATAATATTGTATAAATACGCCATATCCTGTTGTATGGCTACACCACATTTTGTTTATCCACTCATTCATCCTTGGACACTTGGGTTGTTCCCACCTTTTGGCGATCATGAATGGATTTGCTTTCTAAAGCAAGGGGTTCACACCTGAGCAACAAGGGAACTCTGGGTGGCAGAGAATCAGGTGGACTTGAAGGAAGGAGGCCCCGGAGTCTGCGAGAAAACCCCCTAACAGCCCATGTGTGTAGATGGGGGATGGAGCGGTCAGACAGAAGGCTAAACAAGGTGCTACTGGGCTGTGACTGGTGTGGCTCGGTGGATTGGGCGACGTCCGCAAACCTAAAGGTCGCTGGCTCCATTCCCGATCAGGGCACATGCCTGGGTTGTGGGTGATGTCCTCAATTGGGGCACGTGTGAGAGGCAACTGATCGATGTTTCTCTCCCACTCTTTCTCCCTCCCTTCTCTGAAAGAAAGAAATATATGAAGGAAGGAAGGAAGGATGGAAGGATGCCTGGGCTCACCAGGTGTTCAGGAGTAGCGGGCCGGGCTGGATCCCCACATGGGGAGGCTGGAGGGACAGCCAGTGAAGGTGCCGGCTCCGTGGTTAAAACTTGGCCAGGAGGGCAGAGCCAGGTCCGCTCTCTGCTGTCACTCATGCAGAAGTGACCATTCAGACCTGGAGGCTAGACGAGTGCGCCAGAGGGCAAAGCACAGAACCAGGGCACAGGAGCCGCAGCCCCGTGCGGGGGCAGGAGGCAGGAACAGAGGGTGGGAGGGGGAGGGGGGTTGGTGGCGATGGGGGCGAGGAGGCCCTGGGGAGGCTTCGGGATCTCCGGTCGCTGCGTGCGAAGGCGGTGGGCGTGTGGGGTGTGTTCCTGCGGCTCCTCTGGGGTCCGGCCTCAGGAGGTTCTGTTAATGTTCACTGACTGAAATGGGGGGGAAATAAAGATAAACAGGAATATTTCTCATCCTCAAGAAACTATGGCCCAGTCACAGAGATGAGACGTGAAAACAAACATGTTGTACGAGATCCCCTTGGAATCGTAGCAGGCAGAGCCCAGAGATGTTTTGGGGAGAGGGGGTGGGGGCCTTCTGATGTGGTGGTCTGGACAGGATGCGGCCAAGCAGGAGGGATTTGAGTCATTTTTCAATCTGAGGCCAAAGGCTCCCCACTTGGGAGAGTAACCCGTGTTCCCGCGCCCTGGCTGTGCGGTCCCTCATCGGTGTCCTCCCTCTGACCCCGCAGGTATGATTCTGGCCGGGACGGCTTCATCGACCTGATGGAGCTGAAGCTGATGATGGAGAAGCTGGGGGCCCCCCAGACCCACCTGGGCCTGAAGAGCATGATCAAGGAGGTGGACGAGGACTTTGACGGCAAGCTCAGCTTCCGCGAGGTACCCCGTCCTGTGTCCCGAGCCCCGGGGGGGGGGGGCCAGTCCCCGAGATGACCCTCAAATTTATAGTTCTCTCGGCTACAAATGGCTTTGGCCTCTCTAGAGCACTGTTGGATGTTTAACCTACAGTTCTGCTTTTTGAAATAATGGAAGGAGTGAGTGAACCAGGCGGGGAAGGCTCAGGAAGCAGATGGAAAGGTGGTGTGGGTAGGAAACCCTCATTTAGGTAAAACGGTATATATACTGAGAAATCTAGAAGGACAATTCCTAAAATATTCATAGTAGATATTTGTGGGTGCAAATTTTGGGTGGCTTTATAATTTTATACTTTTTATATGTTAAAGCTTTTCATTTTTATAGTATTTTAAAATAGTAAAAAAAAAAAAAAAAAGCAATTAAACAAAGGGTCTTGTTCTGTTCCTGTGGACAGCTCCTCCCAAACAGTCCAAGAACGGGCCTTTCAGCCTTTGAACCCTGAAATTACAGGCAAAATTTTGTAAGTACAGATATATTCTTGAAAGCGTGCCTCTAGATTCACATGCAGATCCCCAGTCGGTGATAAGACCATTTCTGTTTTGGGAGAAAAGTTTCAAGGTCACGTGGTTTCTTCCGTGGAACGGCTGCAGCCCCAGAAGGAAGGGAACGCCTAGCCTCACATGGCTGAGTTTTACTGAACGGCCTCTACATGTGTCAGTGTGGCTGGTATTAGAATAGCTTGGAGACAACTTGCGGACGGAAGGCGCGGGGCAGTAGCCCAGTGGCTGTGCTCCGCTCTCACGCACGTCTCAGCTAGTCCCTCAGAGCTGGGAGTGGAGAGGACTGTCCTTCTTCCTGGTGTCCGCCCTTGGTTATTCCAGAAACAGTGCAATGCTGGCACCCCGTTTTCTGATGGCAAGACTTCGGCCACGTCCTGGTCTTCCATCCAGGCTAGACAGGGCTTTGGATGTTCTTCCCGGGGCCTCTGCAGCTGACCGGCAGCCACAAGTCCCTGCCCAGCTGTGACGAAGCTGGCCTCGCCTCTCGCTGTCCGCAGATCACTGGCAGGTTCTCCCGCCTCTTCCTCTCCTGACCCGGCAGATGTGGAGACCGGCAGCCACGGCACATCTGTGTTGGCGACTAGGATGATCGAGCCCAGGCTTCTCATTTCAGAGCTGGGGGCTCGAGGACCACAAAGGTCAGCATGGTCCTGGAATCAGGCCCAGCTCAGGCTGGGCCTGGGCCGCAGCCTCCGTGCCACACGGCCTCCCGCGGTCACTCGCCAGGGTCGCCTTCCCAGCTGTCCCCCTGGCTCCCTCACCGGGCGTTCGGTTCCTGCAGGTCATGCGTGCTTGGGGCTGAGCCCTGGCTCTTTCCGACCTGCATGCCCCTGGGATGCAGAAGGTAAAAGCTTCGGCCTTGGTGAAGCTTTGGAGGCAGCTCTGGGGGAGGAGAGTCTGTGGCAAAGCTGTGATCACAGGAACAGAAATCGAGAGGGTGTTGAGAGGTCTGTGCAAGACACCAACTGAGTGAACACAATCCCTCCCCTGCGCTTTACCCAAGGGCTCCCTGACGTGTTCCTCCTGGAGCCCAAGAGGCTTGATCAGCTTCTGGGAGCTGCGTGTCTGGCCACTGCCCCCAGATGGCGGACAGCAGAGGCTCAGACAGCTCCAAGGGTCTGTGGTGGGCCTTCAGCCCGCCTGCAGAGCTCAGCTCCAAGGGTCTGTGGTGGGCCTTCAGCCCGCCTGCAGAGCTCAGTGACGTTCACCCTCAGAGCCCCGTGTGGTTCCACCTCTAGCAGGTGTGCCCAGGGAAGTAGGCACGTCCGCTGTCACCACACTGTGCTCCTGTAATGGAAGAGGCTTGCAGTCAGACCTCGGCCGCACGCAAGCTGCAGGCCTGCAGCACGCTATTTTCCTTCTGAGCCTCAGGTTCCCTGTCTTGAAATGGGGGTGTCACTGGCTTTCCCTCAAGGCTGCTGGGAGAACCAACTTCTCTCTGTGCCTGTGCCAGGTAGAACTCTTGGTTGTAAGTGATGGAAAGTGGATTCCAACTGATGTAAATGAGAAAAATCAAGTAACTGGGCTCACATGCCCAGGAGATGAAGGAGAAGAAGAAATGCTTTAGGCGCAAGAAATCCAGGGTTTAGCCTGTCATGTCTTGATGTCTTGACGGTGCTTTTCCCCTGTGTCCCCCCATGTTCTCCCTCCACGCTCGGGGTTGTCACAGGGCCTGCACAATGGCTGACAGCAGCTCCAAGGCCCAGTGCCCCAGGTCAGCGACCCTGGCGAAGAGAGGGCCCCTTTATCCGAGAGTCCCTCCTGATCCCAGAGGAAGGCCCCCATGGACCAACTAGGGATGCGTGCCCACCTCCTGGACCAATCAGTGCGTGCGGGGGACCGTGATTGGCTAAGTCCACGTCATGTGCTGCAAGGCACCGTGGTCAGCAGCCCCACCACCATCACATGGGACAGAGGTTGCCATGGAGACAAAGTCGCTCACTTCTACAGTTCTTCTCTCACAACCAGGCACTTAGTAGGTGCTTAGTAAATGTTCCCTTTCTTTTTCCTTGGGTTAACTCTACCAAGCACATTATACCTAAATAAAGCTCCTTAATACAGAATCCATTCAGTACTATTTTGCTGCTTTTCCCAAAATACAAGGAAATTGGGCTTTCTCTTCAACCATTTTTTTCTAGTTTTGAACAATAATGTATGCACATTAGGAGCATTTTATGAAATGGCATACATGGAACCATTCAAATTGACGATGTGACACAGTGTCTCATGACCAGAGAACAGTTGTTGACGATGTAGAAAGTGCGGACCAAAGGAGATGACTAAGCTGTATGTAAGTCATGATTATTTGCATTTATGGTCTATGTGAGCACAGACACGTAGAAGAAATTGTACAGAGGGACCAGAGATGGCAGTTCCACCTCCATAGCTCCAGCGACGTAGAACCCGGTGCCAGGCACCCCCATCTCGCTCAGACAACAGAACCTTCACATCCTCCTCTTTTATTTGTGCTCCTCCCTAATTCCCATCCATCTGTCTCAAAGCAGAAGTGCTCCAAGGCCAGCTATGCAGTGCTTTCGTGCCAACGTTGGGCAGCAGGTCGCCTGTACACCTGGGCACTGTGGGTCCCGTTCTCTCTCCCCGCTGAACTCTGCCTGATGGGTGCCCTGGCAGCTCTGGCTCGGCCTGACCACAGACGGACTCCCGGGGAATCTGGGTCGGCTGGCTCGGCAGGTGGCTGTTCCTGGAAGATAACTCAGTGCGGGGTGGCCGTTGTCTACCATGTGGACCAGACATGAGAGCTAGAGAGGGAACGTTGCTGCCTCCTGTCGTGAGAGCATTTCCTCTCCCAAGTCTCACCCTCTCCCAGGTCGCTGTCCTTTGACCTTGAGTTTATTCACGACACCCTTTCACATAATGACTACCTCCTTTTTGCTTAAGCCAAGTTGGTTTCTGTTACTTACAGTGTAAGGACTGTAATGACACACAGGACGTGTTTGCATGTCCAAGGGAGAGCCATGGAATTAAACATTTCCTAAATTTATCAGAAGCATTTGATAGCTTGTATCTGAAATTGCTTTCAGGTTTGTCACTCTTCGCCCTGTTCCTTTGTTTACTGCTTCTCTGTCACTCCCCGCTCCTTGCTCACAGTCTCCTCCAGGACACGGTCCAATTCCCCTCAATACGCCAGTCTTGGTGGACTATAAATAGGAAGACATACAATGCTGGGCAGTTGGAGAAATTATCAGGTGGGGGTTGGTGACTGTAATAAAACGAAATGAGAGTAGCGGGCATGCTTTATGGGAGACTGAAGATGTTCAGGTTGCACTGGACGTTTCTCCGTCTCTCGCTGGCTGGGGTGGCGGGCCGCGAAGTAAGGCCGCGGCTCCTGCTGGCCGTCTGCCGAGCTGGCGGGGAGAGCACCGCATGCCAGGCCTGGACCTTCTCGGGGAAGAGAGCCACGAGGGGCACTTGAAGCCGTTCTGTACACAGAGAGGAATGTTGTGTCTGGGCTATGGATGTAAGAGACCGCCCGCCCCCAGGTCACCTGGGTGTTGCTAGGCTGGGGGCCATGGTCTCTCCTTCCTGGGCCGCCTTCCTGGGGCCAGGGGGATGGCTGGTTTGGAGGGGGGACCTGCTTTGGTGTTTGCCTTACAGAGGAATGGCGGAGTGCGGGGGCGGCTGGTTTCTGTAACAAAATGCTTTAAGGACAAGCAGAGTGCTGAGGGACAGACACTTCACTCTGCCCCTCTTCACGCGGCTCATGTTTGCAGCGGTGAAGTCTTCGTTGCCACCATCTCTTCCACAGCAGCCCGACCCGCGTGCCCCTGGGGGCTCATTTTCCTTTACTTTTCATAGCCAATATGTAGGTGTTTGTTTTAAAAAAAAAAGTTAAAATACCTTCCTTTTATACAAAGTGGGGCAAAAGTAGGTATACAGTTAGTCATATGGAAAATAACACCATCATTAATACCAGAATTAATGGTTTCACGTACTCACAACCGTAAACCTACTTGTGCCCCGCTCCGTACTGGAACTTGATTCTCAAACATAGAAAGTGAAACACCGAAGCGTCTTTATAGTCAGCATTTGATAAAGCCAGCAGCACATATACCTTTAACAGACGTGTGCTTAATGCCTCCCAAGGCCTCTTGGAGCCAGCGTTGCGGCTCCCCGGTCTGCAGCGAGCGGAGTCTCTGCCGGCCTCTAGTGAGGGAGTTCGACGCTGCAGGTGGATGAACGCAGCTTTGCTGCCCCGCTAACCAGTGGCTTCCATGGCACAAAGCTGCTACCCTTCTGGAGCATCTTGCATCATCCCTTGCTTTGTGTTCTGCAATGTCCTCAGGGGAAACAGAACCCCAAACCAGAATTACAAAGAAAGCGTCATTAGCAAGGTTTTGGGGGAGGATGGTGGTGGAGGTTGAGACTTTGACTTAATGAAGGACGCTTCCCTTTAGAGATTAAGAGTCTTGGCAGTAAAAGATACTCCAGGTGGAATTTGGAGAACCTGTTGAAGGTGTTTTACCTCTCATTCTGCTTTCAGTAATTAATGTTCTTTTCTCTCGGGAAGCCATTCTCTAGAGAAGATGGTCATAAACAAACAAACAAACCAACCAAAAAAAACCCCAAACCCTGCAATTTCCCTGTGTTTTAGGTAGCACCTGAAAACCTAGAAAAGCCTCTTCCTGTGATGAATTGGAATGTATAATCCATACTCTTTCCAAGTGGAAAAATAAATTATAGAAGTTGGATCGCAGTTCTTCGACAACTAAATTCACAGAAATTCTTTAGAGAGGAGAAGTGGGAAGCCATAGAATTGATTCAGGAGGAAAATGGAGGTTGGGGGGGTGCCTGACCTTCCCGGCTTGGCCTCTTTGTTCATCTGTAACTGCATTCTGTGGGGGCCTTCGTCCATGATGGCTTTAAAGATTAACTCATTCAGGTCACAGTTTGAATCCCGAGGAAGAAGATGGATTATTCAGTAATGATGTGGGGATTACTAACTAACCATTTGGAGGAAAGTAAGGTTAATGATCAACATCACATGACAGATCAGAATAAATTTCAGAGATTAAATATTTACACATTAAAAAAAAGAAGTCATAACAGCAGTAGACAAAAGCACAGGCAACGGTGTCTGTAACCTTGGGGCGAGGAAGGCTTTTCTAAGCATAACACTGGAAAAAATAAGAAGATTGATAGACTTTACGTTAAATTTTTCAAAGTCAAAACGTACCCTAAACAAAGGGGGAAAGGAGAGTTAAAGTGCTTGAAACATATCCATAGAGATGTCTTAGAAAACACTGAGAAAGGTAGACAATCTACTGGAAAATGGGGCACACGCGGAAAATGGGAATGCATCAGACATCAGAAATCCGAAAGGATTTAGTTTTTTTTTAAAAAAAAGCACATACAGGTCTGCTGGACTTCTCTTTCATGGCTATGAAGTAGGGCATTGCCGATGTTTTGCTTTGATAGATAATGCCCCTGAAATGGTTGTGTAGATTTTTTTGAAGAAGAGATCCCAGCAGTGGAATGGATGGTTGGAACGGTGAAAACATTTCATTGTTGGTAAATACTTCCAAAGGGCCCGTCCAAGACTTTGAATCAACGTTTACATTCCACCCACCAGATACCAGGGCGCCCATTCCCCTACATCCTTGTGGAAAGTGGGCATGGGTGCGTTTTTGACAGTGTGATAAGGAAAAAAATAATGGGCACACGCACACACTTCCACCCTTTTTTACAGGCTTGGCCGCGACGACGCGTGCGTGGGCCGAGGGTAGGGCTGTCAGTCTCTCAGCAGTGCTGTCCTCTCCCCGCAGTTCCTGCTCATATTCCACAAGGCCGCCGCCGGGGAGCTGCAGCAGGAGAGCGGGCTGATGGCCCTGGCACAGCTGTCCGAGATCGACGTTGCCCTGGAGGGTGTCAAAGGTGCCAAGGACTTCTTTGAAGCCAAGGTAGGTGGCTCCTTCCTGTGGTGGACAGTCGCCCCCTCCCTCCACCCTGCCCGACAGGAGATCCGGGTTAGTGACTATCTCATCAACTCCCTCAGGACAAGATCAGGTGTGATTGCAGGGGAATGAGAGTGTGTCTGCGTGCAGGCTGCAAATTAAAAACCAAGCAGGAAAACAACCGAATGGTAGATGCATAAGACTCTGGTTTCAGATTCAAGCGGGTTTGCTGGTCCAACACTCCCTGATCAACTCTTTTTGTTAAATTTAAGATTCGCTTTTAGAGAGAGGAGAAGGGAGGGAGAGAAGGCAGGGGAGAAACATGGATGTGCGACAAATACATTGATCAGTTTCCTCTCACACGCGGCCAGCGGGGGACCTTACCCATGACCCAGGCACGTGCCCTGACCAGGAATCAAACTGGCGACATTTCAGTTCGCAGGACGAAGCCTAACCCACTGAGCCACCCCAGTCAGAGAAACTCTTTTTTTAAATATGTTTTAAAAAATAAATCCTCACCTAAGGATATGTTTATTGATTTTAGAGAGCTAGAGGAAGGTGGAGGCAGTGAAAGAGAAAAAGTGAGAGAGAATAACAGAGAGAGAGTAACATAAATGTGAGAGAGAAATAGCGATCAGTTGCCTCCAGAAAGCTTCCCGACCAGGAATTGAACATGCAGCCTAGCTATGTGCCCTGACTGGGAATTGAACCTGCAACCTTTTGGTGTACGGGACGACGCTCCAACCAACTGGACCGCCTAACCAGGGCCCAGATCAACTCTTGCTCCAGACTTTCCTGCAGAATTCCTCCCAACCCCAAACCACAGTCAGGTAACTTGGATGGCTACCTCCACGTGTGCATCTTACACGCCTATGTGTGAACAAGTGAACAATGAGGGCAGAGGAGGGAGCCTGGGTGGCTCTCCCCAAATTTGCTCTGTGGACAGTGGCTGGGAGTTGGGACGGAATGTGCAGGGCATGGTCTTGGATCTCTTCTGGGTGCTTCCACTCATTCGTGCTTTCATCCAGCCATTGAGCTTTTATTGAGAGCCCACTCCTTGCTGGGCTTTGTCATTGTCATCCCTGCAGAGCCCACCTGCAGAAAGAGAGGCTAGGAGAGCCCCTCGCGTCCCCTGTCTCCCACAGCCGAGGAGCGCAGTGGGTGAGGCTGCCTGGTTTCAGAGTCTGCCCCCTCCTGCCGCCTGTCTGTGCCGCCGTGGTGGGCAGGGGCCCGGGACCGAGGCCCGGCTCAGCAGCACGCTGTTCTCGCCCTGCGGCTGCAGCGCAGTGTGCCCAGCGCTTCTGTCGACGTCTCATGAAGTCTCTGGGAGCGTCTTCCCTGGGCAGTCGGACCTTTCACGACCCAGTTCTGGCCCCCTCCCCAGCCTCATCCACCTCGTGCCTGTCTTCAAACAACTGCCACGCTCCTCACGGCTGGGCCTCAGTGCCGGCTGCTCCCTCCACCAGGAAGGCCCCGTCCAAATGCCTCTTCCTAGAAAACTCGGCTCATTCTCTAAGGCCCATGGTAAAGAGTTGCTTCTTCTTGGCGGCTTCTCCCCTCATTACGCCGGTCGAGAAAGTCTGTCCTCTTCCACATGCCTCTATTAAGAGTGGAAGGGGTATTACAGTTTGTTTGTTCAAGGCATTCTTGGACACGTTGGGTAAGTGTGTATAGTGGCCTGACTTTTTGGTGAGCGGTTTCGGGCTACCTGTTAACATTTCACATCCTTTGCCTCTGGAGGTCTGCCCCAGGATTAGCCTCTCGAGACACTCACGCCGACGCACGTGGGTACAGAGACAAGGATTCCGTGCAGCTCTCTTCGTGATAGAGAAAAATTGGAAGCGATGGAAACTTCCAGCACCAGGGAATCGAATCCATCTGTTACACCCACATATCTGTGCACCCCGCAGCCATGTGTGTGTGGACAGATGTCCAAAATGCAGGAAGCGAAAACAGTTTGTTTGAAGCCCCATTTTGTGACTATTAAATACGCCCTGGATAATTATATACCAAAGTGTTAGTAATACTCATGTCTGAGGGACTTTTAAAATAATTTTGTAATGCCTGATCATCGTGTGCAGGTCATTTTTATAACCAGGAGAAAAGATGAAAAGAAAAACAATGACGTTTTTCTGAACTTGCCATGTTTATGTGTCTGCCTCCCCACCTAGACTCAGAGGTGGGGAGGTGTGTTATCTTCGTAATTGCAGTGCCTGGCACGTAATGGCCCTCAATAAACATTCACATAAATGACAAGTGGAGGGAGTCATCCCTTGAATTTGGGAGAGGGCCGTAAAGGAGCTGACGTTGGCAACAGATGTTCAGAGATGAATGGGGACTCACCTTGTAATCAAGGAGGGGGAGGCGTGCCTGCCGTGGGAACGTGGGAACAGCCAAAACAAAGGCTCCAAGGCACAGAGGGCAGGGAGTGCCTGGAGGCGGGGCCCTGGTCTGCAGCGGACGCAGTTGGACAGGGAATTCTGGGCCGGCCCCCCCAGGCCCGGCCTTCCCCAGCCTGCTGACCACCAGAACTGTCTGCAGGCCAGCCTCCCAGGCCCCGCTCCAGTCTGGCTGGGATGTCCCCAGGGTGGGGCGCAGGAGCCCTGGACTTGAATGGGCTCCACAGGGCAGGTGGTTCAGTGCAGAGCCAGCTTGGAAAGCGCAGCTGCAGGTGCAGGGTTGGGCAGGGGGTGCTCTCCGAGGGGTCTGAGCAGGGCTCTGACATGATCAGTGGTGGGCGCCACGGCAACCGACCTGCCCGGGGAGAGACTGCACTTGGGAAGCGTCCGTAGACCCTGGGGAACCATAGGTCCGATGAAGGTAGTGACAGTGGGGCTGGGGACGAGGTGGGGCAAACCCCTAACCTCCAGAACGCTCATAATTTAGGACTGCTTGATTGGAGCTGGGACATAAAATGCCAAAGGCTTGCTGTGTGGAGCTGTGTGGAGAGGGGCTGGTGATATATTTTCTTTTTCCATCCTGACAGGACACTCCCCCCCCCACAATAGGAATAATTAAAAAGGAAAAGTTATAGACTGGATTTTAGAGTTACGTCTAAGCTGGCCTCAGGCAAATGGAAGGCCTGCCGCTTCATTTGACGGGCACAGGGTCGGTTGCGAATAGTTTGTGTTTAAGAAGCTGGCCATCCCCAGCTGCACAGGAGGCCGCAAAATGCTTCCCTCCCTGGGGTTCTGTGCACACAGTTGTAATTCTGCTACTAGGAGAGACGATGAGGGTCACGCTATCATCTCTTCCCCACAAGGCCATTGCGGAGCCAAATGGCAAGGGCTGGGCTATCATGACCCGGGTTGGGCGCTCGCTCCTGGAGCCTGGGGTAGGAGGTCAGTCTCGCCTAGATCCTTGGAGGAAATGGACGCTTCGTGACCAAGCAGGCCACAGGGGCCATCTTCACAGGACACAAGGTGAAAACCATGGACTAGAGGAGACTGACCCACGATGGGACACATGGTGACCCAGCCTTGTGGAGAAGGAAGGAATCAGAGATACAGGGAAACCCTGGAAAAGATGCTATTTTGGAGGACAAGAGTATTTTTAAGAAGAGAGTAAACCAGATGAGGCTCAACCAGAGGTCTTGGGTCTAGCAAGTGGGTCAGTGGAGATTTTTGAGACCAGGTTGGCCGGGGAGGGCGGGGAGGAAGCACCCTGATAGCCGAGGTTTCTATCTAGAGGCCGCGCAGAGCGGGGATGGCAGGAAAGAACCTGGGGTTTGTTTTTAGCCTGCGGGATGGTTGTGGGCACGCTTTTAGGTTATAGGGAAGTGGTCCTGGGAGAAGGAAACGTGGAGACAGTAGCCCATCATCGTTGAGGATTTCCACCTTAGACACAGGGTGAGCGCTTGGAGGTCATGCAATCAAGAGAAGAGGTGGACCTTTATGGGGGAGAAGGAGAGGATCCCAAGTGAAGGGGTCGCAAGGGCCCCTGACCCGCCTCTGACCTGCCTGGGCACGGTGGGCAGGGGGCGCGATTCACAAACCTGTGAGCGTTGCCAGCGGGTCAGACCCCCCGCTGGACGCCCATGAGGCTGGTGGTGGTGTCCCACTCTGCAGATGAGGAGACGGAGGCTCAGGCAGCAGTTTGTTGGTAAATGTTTAGCCATTGGTTCTCTGAACAAATGCCCAAGTTTATTATAAATTTTACTGATATAAAGAATCTGTAGCACACAATTTAGAAATAGTAAAATACTTGCATATGCTACATTTCTTGCCAATTCCGCATGGCCTGCTGGTTCTCAGAGAACGGCCCCTTGCCTTCTGTTAGGCTTTCCTACCTGTCACCAGCCTATGGCGAGAACTGACAAAACGTTGTAGTTCCAACAGGCATCTTGGTTGATATTTTGTTCAAGCTGATTTATAAGAAAAAAGGGAAAGGACACATCTCAGAACTTCATTCATTTCTCAGTGATGGGAGCAACTCCTTTGCTGAATTTGATCATAGTTTTCAAATGTTGGCAGAACATCCTCTCATTTTGGGGGGAGCTATTCATAATATAAAGGCTACAGACACTGCCCATTTTAAAAATGTAATCTGCATTGTTAACGTTTCCCCATCGCTTAAGAAGAGATGGTCTAGACAGTCAATGAAGCAATAAACCAAGCCCTGATTCAAAGCACCCGGTGGCTCCCCTGGTGTGAAGGCTCCCACCACAACCGCCTTCCGTTCGGGACTTCCACCTGAGGGAGAGAACACCTGTTGGCAACCTCAAAAGCACAGATCAGAGTAAAATGTTGTAAAAGAATCAAGAAGTAATGACTTTTTTAGTATTTCTTACTTTTGCTTTTACTATAATTTATTGTCACTTCCTATGATTTTATTTTTAATAATGGCTATCATTCACCACCAGCCCATACAATCCCCGCAAATCGAACCATCGGCTTGCAAGCTCGTACCGCCCGCTCCAGCGCACCTCGGGGCCTGGGGACGTGGGGTGGCCTGCCCAGCGCCTCGCAGCCCTGTGTGTCCTGAGGCACTGGGAAAGGGGGGAGGGATAAAACAGGTGGGGGAGGGTCCAGAGAGGAAGGGCTGCATTTCTCTGTGTTTCCTAAATGAGGGGCAGGGGCTGCTGAGAGTTGCAGGGTCCAGGGTGAGTGCTGTGGGGAGAGACAGGAGGGGGCTGAGCCAACAGGAGGCCCAGCCCAAACCGGAAGTCTTCGCCTCCCAAGGGATCCAGACACCGCCCTTGTGAGACTTAGAAAGTGTGTTCTCAGCCTGCGGTGGGAACGGACAAAATCCTTGACCCAAGGATGGGACTCGGCAGGGTAGGCCTAGAGAGAACTGTGTCAGGGCTGAAGTGCAGGGCCTGGGAATTCAAGGGCCCGTGACAGGTGTTGCTGCAAAGGTTGGCCAGGTCTCCGTGGCAGGTGGGAAGGTAAACCCAGGTCAGGCCATGCACCCGGGAACCGGAGCTCAAACCCTGGATGGAGGAGGGTTCTACAACCAATGCACCCTGGGGGTGCTGGGTAAGTAGCAAACCTCAACTTGGACTTGTGGCCATAATCAATAAAGAGCAGGCAAGGAGGAGAGGTGCAAGGGCAGGCGGCACGCACTCTCAGCCAGATGGCGAGAGGACTAGACGGCGAGCAGGTCCTGTGCTGGTGTCCGGGGACTCGAACAGAGGGAGCCGGTGGTGTGGGCCTCGGGGCCAGAGGAGAGGGGAGGCTGGGAAGCCAGGGCAGAGGCTCAAGGGCTTAAGAAATTCCTGGGAAATTTGGAAAATCCAATTTCCCGGTCCCTCCCTCCAGGGCCTCTGATTCAGAAAGGGCAAGAACTTCCTGGTAATATTTTCAGAGTTACCTATCTTCAGAAACAGACCCCTGTGAAGTATAGAGAGAATTTAGGAAGAGGATATACATATTTTTCACTGAGTTGCGAGAACCTGCGTTGGGCTACAAAGGACATAATGGAATGATAATCCAAAGGACTAAATAGCATTGCAGGAAATGGTAAATCTCAGCTACAGTACTGCGGCGAAGCGGACGAGAAATGAGACTACGGAGACACCCTGCACTGAAGCAGCTGGTGGTAGAGAAACAACAGAAATTGAGGTGATGGATACAGGAACAGGGTAGTTAAAAATAGTGAGAGACCATGATGCATCAATTTAAAATCATTACAAAACTTAAGGAAGGGGATGCTTTTCTACAAATGTAAGGCAATAAGTAGAAAATGTGATGAATTATAAAGACATTGAAAAAGGTCACATATCACATTTGTTCTCAGAAGCCATTATGATTCTGATAACAAAATCAAATAAAAGTAACAGATTGGAAAAATTTTTTCTATCAACCTAATAAGTATTGTTGTATCTTAAAGCATTAAGAAATGGAATGCAAGTATATTTGAAATTTATGTTGAGACTGCAGGGATAACTTTCAAATATTGATGTCATAGGTAGCTCAAATATGAAAAATGTGATCGTTTTAGACCTCTCAGAGACATTTGTGTTCATAATTACACACTTTAACATTTTAAAAGAGATTTTATTTTTAGAGAGAAGGGGAGGGAGGGAGAAAGAGAGGGAGAGAAACATCAATGTGTGAGAGGAACATCGATTGCTTGCCTCTCACACATCCCCCAACCAGGGGCCTGGCCTGCAACCCAGGCACGTGCCCTGACTGGGAATCAAACTGGTCACCTTTTGGTTCTCAGGCTGTCATTCAAGCCACTGAGCCACACAAGCCAGGGCGTAATAACACACTTTAAAATAAAACAATATTCTTCTTCAACATGATAAAAGACTATATAGTTTCCTTATAAATATCAAGGCATCCTATAAAGCAATAATATTAAATCATGTAGTATGGGTACAGGAATAAACAAACCTGTTAGTAGAACAGGGTAGACAATAATAAAAACAGCACTCCTTCATGTGGGAATTTAGTATATGAAAAAGATCATTTTCAAATAGGTGAAGAACAATGGGTTTTAAGACAATTGGCTCTCCACTTAGGAAAATGAAGTAAAGTCCTCACTAAATATTTCCTCACTGAAAAAAGGTGCAGGCAACTTCAAGAGCTGACACCATGAAAGTACTAGGAGATCCCGGGCTGTTGTGGCTCAGTTGGTTAGACATCGTCCCACAGAATGAAAGGTCTTCGGTTTGATTCATGGTCAGGGCGCGTACCTGAGTTTCAGGTTGGTCTAGGTTGGACGCTTACGAGTGGCAGCTGATTGATGTTTCTCTCTCCCATCGATCTTTCTCTCCCTCCCTTCCTCTCTCTCCGTCTCTTTAAAAAAAAAAAAAAAAAAAAAAGTATGTCCTTGGGTGAGGATTAAAAAAAGTATTAGGAGAAAATACAAAAAAAAAAAAAAAAAGGGTTAGAAACCTATTTTGTCTTGTTTAAGAGGGGAGAGAAGAACCCTTCTAAACATGACAAAATGCAAAAGCCAGAAAAGCAATGTCTGAAAAAAATTGATTGCATCAAAATTTAAGAATGTTTGTATGGCTTGAACTACCTTGAAGTTAAAAGACCAGAAACTGGGAGAAAGTACTTGAAAAATATGACAAGGGATTAATACCTAAATTATGTAAAGTAAAACAATAGCTGAATAGAAAAGGGAGCAAAGGATACAAATGGGTAATTCACTAAAGAGGAAATAAAAGGTGCCAGATTTTTTGCCTATCAGATTGGCAAGTAGGGAAAAAGTTAATTATAAGCATCGTTGGCCAGGCTGTGGGGAAATGAGACCCGGTATTCCACGATGGCGGGGGTGTGAGTGGGAACAGCTGCTTGGCAGAGCAATTGAGCAGCCTTTATTAAACGATGTACACGCCCACCGTGTTTGCAAAGTTTACCAAACTGATGAGACAGAAAAAAAATCAGTTCTAGATTAGAGGTTGAAGTTTTAGGATGAATTTATCTGCTATGGTATTATGAAAGATGAACTTTTTAAAAATACCACCAAATCCCATTCACAAATACCACCAAAAATGTGTAATATGTTGAAGTAAGTTTAGAATGGTCTGCTTAGAGAAAACTAAAAATTTTAGTGGGTAACAGAAAAACCATATTGAACAAAAACTGAAGAATCAGGGAAAGCTTACATTATAAAGAAATTCCTTTGCCCCAGGAGATGGATACAATTCCAATCAAAATCTCAGCAGGGAGGTAATTTTATTTCTGTTTTCCCTGGAACTAAACAATGCTGTTGTGAAATTTAAAAAAATAGACAGTAGAAGTGGGTAATAATAGGTGGGGATGTTGAATAGGAAAAGATGGGACATATGAGAAGACCGACCCATGGCAGCAAATAAAGCGACTGCGTCCTCCTACTCCAAGGCCAACCTGGGGGGACCCCCCGGGAAGGTCAGTGAACACGCAGAAGGGCCCTTTCCCACAGTTCCCTGTGCTCCCTCACTCTGTTGGCCTGTTTCGGCTCTTTCCCTGCAGGTCCACGCCTTGTCCTCTGCCAGCAAGTTTGAAGCAGAGCTGAGAGCTGAGCAAGAAGAGCGGAAGCGGGAGGAGGAGAAGAGGAGACTCCGCCAGGCAGCCTTCCGGGAGCTCAAGGCCACGTTCAGCACATAGTCAGGCGACCGTGACCTCTGTCCACAGCTGTGCCTCACAGGTGCCCTGGGGAGAGCTGGCCGGGCATCCTCCCCGCAGCTGACTCCTCGCCCCAACCACCACCAGCCTCCACACCCATTGTCAAGCGAACGCCTTAGCCACGAAGGGGCAGCAGGGGGTGCTCTCCTCCCCACCTTCCTCTGCCCTCCCCTCGTTGGCCACCTCGGCCTTTCCTTGCCCCTTTACCCTTCCACATCAAAGAGTGGAAAGTAATGGTACAGATCCTTCTCTCTTGGGTGGTCCTCAGAGGAGACAGCCCTGGGGGGTGTGCGGTTCATGCCGCCCGTTTCCCGGGGGACGCTCCCTCCCGCCCTCTGTTTCCTGTGCGGCTGCCCTGTCCTCCTTCCCAGCCGGACTCTGCCCGCCGCCTTCGCATCTTCGCCCGCCCTTGATGGTGGTCGGGTCTGAGTGAGGCAGGCCAGGCTGGCCCACTGCCTGTCCCCTCTCCAACGGGGGCGTGGCGTGCTACAGAGGTGACACACAATAGTGAAAAGATAAGTTCTGTCCCTTCCCGTCGCCCTTCTCCTGTCCCCTCGCCTTCTGCCAAGCTCTACCCTCTTCACCCCTCTTCCTTCGTGTCTCCCCACTTCAGCGTTTTTCCTCCCCTTCAATACTGGGCTCCTTCACTGTGATAGCGAAAGGATAGTGAGAAGCCATGTTAGTGAGTAGAAGAATTCCTGTTAACACTGACTCTATGCAAATACTATTACAGTAGGCCCCTGACATCCCCAAGGGACAAACCTAGAGCCTTTTAAAATCCCAAAGGTCACATCCCTCCTCATCATGCAGAAAGGTTCTAACATCTGCTCCAAGGTGGTGAAGGTGTTCTTACCTCTAGCACAGATTTTTATATGTTGTGAGTTCTTGGGGTGACACACAAATGTCAGGGGTTTGTTGCATTTTTTTAAAAGTAATTCCTAACATCGTATTTATTCTCTGTTGTAACGGCTGTCTTTACAGTAAAGAAAACACCTGCATTTCTACCTTATAGCGATTTCTTTTTCAATAAACTGTGCAAATAGACTTTGGCATCATATTGTTGTGCTTCTAGTCTTCTTGTAGGGTTGCGTCAAGCTCAGGCTCCTGTTGGTCACCAAATCCCAGAAGTTGAGTGAGAGGTGGTAACTAAAGGGTTGGTTTTCACTCCAGGGCATCCGAGTACTGAGGTGGTCTGTCAGCTGCTCTTCCTGGTCCCATCACTGAGGAGTCTTTCAGCCGCAAGTAAAACCTGTCGCTTAATTTCCTTGTTTCCTAGACTCTTGAAATTCTAATGAGGGCCAAGGACCCCTCCTTCCCATGTAGAATTCCCGGGTCTCTGGGGGACCCCTGTCCTAAGGGACCCTCAGCTCCCCAGCGAGGATCGTTCCCAAGGCGTATATAATTCTCAGGCATTTTCTAGGTTGAGCCACCCTCCAACCACCCTACCAGAGACAGTGGGCCTGAAAAAGGACTTGAGAGACTTACTGTACGATTGGTGATTGAGCTTATTGGTATTTATTCAAATGAGCTGAGAACTTTTGTCCACATAAAACCCTGCACGTGAATGTTCATAAACAACTTTGTTCATAATTGCCAGAATTGGAAGCAACCAAGACATTCTTCAGTCAGTGAATGGATAAGCAAACTGGTACATCCACACAACGGAGTATTAATTTAGTGATAAAAAGAGATGATAAAAAGAAATGCGCCATCAAGTCACAAAAAGATTTGGAGGAAACTTAGATGCATATCGCTAAGTGAAAGAAGACAAGGTGGAAAGCTTGCGTCTATGTGATTCTAACTATATGACATTCTGGAAAAAGCAAAACTATGAAGGCAGTAAAAAGGTCAGTGGTTGCAGGTTGGGGGGCAGGGTGAACAGAGAGTGTTTAGGTAACAAAACTACTATGTATGACACCGGCATGGTATACACACTCATTGTAAAGTTGTCCGAAACCATAGAATGTGCAATGCCAACAGTGACTCTTTATGTAAACTATGGACTTTAGTTAATAATCATGTATCAATATGGGCACATCAATTGTAACAAATGTACCACACTAATGCAAGAGGTTAATAGTGGGAAAAACTGGAGCGGGAGTGGGGAAAGGTTTCTGGGATTCCCTGCTAAGTTCTTCTTGTAAACCTAAAACTGCTCTAAAAAAAAAAATGAAATCTATGACTAAAGAAAGAAGAAGAAGAAAAAGAAGGAGGAGGAGGAGAAAGGTGTAGATACAACAGTGTAATTACTTCAAACATTCATTTGCTCCTCCGTACAACGAGGCCCATGTGAGAGTTAAAAACTCTTGATTGCAAGGACAGAAAATGTAACACAAGCAGACCTGAGACCACCAGGACAAATGCTGGGCCCTGGGTAACTACAAGGACCGCGGAAGGGCTTCTGGGCCCTGTCTTGGTCATGAAGTCCTGCAGACGTCCCTCCCCTGCCCCTCACCCACAGTCCCCGCCCTCCGTCTCTGTGGCCGTGGCCTTCACGGTTCGGGTCCTCTCCTTGGCCTCGGCTGTGCTTTTCCTGCCCCTGTTGGCCCTGATTGGCCAACCTGTGGCTAGAATAGTCCTTGTAAGCAGCAAAGTGTTCCTAACACCTCCTTTCCGTTTGTCGGCTTTTCGGGATCTGACCTCTGCTCTCCTTTCCTGCCCCAGCTCTTGCCCCACCTCCTTCCCTCTCGCCTCCCAAGCTGTGCACTCCAGGTAGATGTAACGCCAAGCAGTTCCCAGGAAGTACCGCTGCCCCAGGGTTTTGCAGGTGCTGTCTCCTCTGCCGGGCACTTCCTCCCTCCCTCCCGTCCGCCCGCTGGCAAACTACTCATTGTTCTCATCTCATTGTCAGCTCAGCGATTGTCTTCAGGAGCTTTTTAAAATGAAATGTATCGAGGTGATACTGGTTAATAAGATGATATAAGTTTCAAGTGTATAGTTCTATAATATTGATACATCACCTGTGTATTACATTGTGAGCTCATCACCCAAAGTTTGGTCTCCCTTTGTCACCATATGTTTGATGCCTTTTACCCTCTTCACTGCCCCCCAGCCCCCTTCCCCTCTGGTAACTGCCATGCTGTTGTCAGTTTCTATGAATTTTTGTTTGTTTTTTGCTTTCTGTTTTATGTCCCTCCTATGAGTGAAATCCTATGGTTCTTGTCTTTTTCTATCTGAAATATTTTGTTTAGCTTAATATTCTCAAGATCCATCGTTGTTGCTGCAAGTGGCAGTATTTCATCCTTTCCTGTGGCTGCGTAGGGTTCTCTTGTGTGTATGGACCACACCTTCTTTATTCAATCATCCATCAAAAGGCACTTACGTTGTTTCCGTGTCTTGGCTACTGGGAATAATACTGCAATGAACATAGGGATACATATATCTTTACAAATAACTGCTTTCAAGTTTTTTGGGTAGATACCCAGAAAAGGGATTGCTGGGCCATGTGGTAGCTCTATTCTTAACTTTTTGAGGAAACTCCATACTGTTTTTGGGAAACTTCCTTTTTTATTTTTTTAAAGATTTTATTTTTAGAAGGGAAGGGAGGGAGAGAGGGAAAGAAGCACTGATGTGAGAAATACCAGTTGGTTGCCTCTCATGTGTGCCTCGTCTGGGGACCGAACTCACAGCCCACGCTGTGAGCATGTGCCCTGACCGGGGATCGAACCAGCGGCCTTTCACTTTGCAGGATGATACCCAACCCACCGAGCCACACCAGTCAGGGCAGGAAGCTTTCTTGATACTTCCAGTCTGGGTGAGGAGCCCCTTCTCAGGGCCTCACCTTGCCATGAGTTTTTCACTGTTGGGTCCTCCCAGCAGTATGTGGCATCCTTCCTTTACTTCTTCCTCCTCCTTCGGACTGTGAGCTCTGTAAGGGGCAGGAAGTCCCCTTACCCACTGCAGTAGGACAGGCATGCTGCCTGGCATTGGTGGGGCTCCCTTGGCTGTTTGTCTCACAAGGACGTCCCGGGTTTGTTGAAGCAGAGATGGCGCCAGACCAGGGAAGTTTCTAAGTGTCCTTACCTGGGAGTCTTGGCTGAGGGGACAGCTCTGAAAGTGAGGACAGCAGTTGTGGGGACATCATTCTCACTGGGAAAGTGATGAGTCCACTCTCCAGAGGACTTCCTTCCACTGAGCAATAGTGAAAACCAACCAACCAACCAACCAACCAACCAACCAACCAGTCTGCCTCTGCCCTGGAGTCTGTGGGGTGCCATGGGACTTGGAGTCAGACACAAAGCTGGTAACTCGTCTCCCTGAGCCTCAGTTTCCTCACCTGTCCAATGGGAATGATGATTGTCTCTCTGGCAGATCCCATGCCTGGCACTTATTCAGTGTTTGGGACATATTGATCCCCTCAGTATCTTCCACCTTCCACGACTGCAATTCTGTCTCCTCCTGAGTCCTGGGTCTCTAAAGTCACATGCCAGAGATGCCAAGCCAGGGCGGCCCAGAAATGCTCAGTCCTGGCTGCTGCGTTGGCCCCAAGCCCAGATGCCCATTTGCTCAGTTTCTTAGTTCTTTGGAGGCCCCTTCCCCGACAGCCCGGGCAGATTTCTGCCAATCCACCCACTCCCCTGCCATGCCCCCCGCAGCTGACCCTGCAGCTGACCCACGTGATCACATGACCTGACACCTGGGGGCCGAGTGCCTATTCAGGTTTCTCCTTGCTCACCCTGCCCGAGGACCAGGTCGGATTCTGACCGCCTGCTGGGAGTGGAAAGGGTAGTATCTGGACTGCTTGTCTTCTGCAAAGAGGGGTGGGCTCTGTCTCCCACCAAGATTTTTATTTTCCCCAGTATGAAAAGTATATCAGACGCAAAACTGTCATGTAAGAGTGGCAAATGTCCACCGCTGATACACTCATGAGCTTTGACCCAGGGATTTGCTTACGCTATAGGTAAATATAAACATGAACAAGGGTATATTTAAAGGGCTACTCACTGCTGCATTGTCTTTAATGGCAAAAACCCTGGAGACAACCAGGACGTCTATCAGCAGGGTATCGATTAAGTATGTTATGGTGCATCCCTGTAAATGAACTCTGGTGACAGCTATTACAGAAAACGTAGAAGACTCCAAGGCAGGTTGTTTCATATAAAAAGGCCAGGAGCAGAGCAGTGTGCCTAATGATGCCTTTGTTTTTGTTTGTTTTATGTGAGGGATAGGAAGCCTTGTCTCTCTGTCCTGTAGACCAAGTGTGTGAGGTCAGTGACCAAGTGGATTTGGGGACAA